GTGCTGGCCTTCAATGCCTCGTTCCCCTCCTGGCTGGGATTACAGGTATGCACCATCACGCCTGGCTATAACATGACTCTCTCATGTAAGAGTCAAGTATTTTGTGAAAAGAAGGGGGGGGGAGCTAACCCAACAAAACAAAGTTAAGCAAGTACAAAACAGAAAAATTCTTTCTCAAGTCCAGCTTTTGTTGTCTCTTCCTCCTGAGTGTTTATTTCCCAGAGATGCTGTTTCTGAAAGAGAAATCAACCATCATTATGGTTTATGAAAAAAGCACCATGGTTTTTAAGTTTTAAGTACAAGCAAACCAAGTACCTTAAATGAATTTACATAAATTTAGATTATACCTGTCAGATTAAACACAACAGTGTTTAATTTTTATTGATATTGGCATTAATCAGAGATAACTATACCCTCCTTCACAAATAAAACACAACTATTAGAGCTCTTTCCAAATATAAAGACCAATTTTGTATTACCTATCTCTTTAAGAAACATATTAGGACTCCTATTTGAGAAATTTATAATTGAGCAACACCTTTTTATGTAATTACATGATAATTTATAGACAGGGTCTTGTTAAACCAAGTTGCTCTGACACAGTCTCCTTGCCTCAAATCCAGGCTGGTATTATAGGCATACCTGACTCATAATTATTAAAAAAAAAAAAACAAAAAACAGAAGTTATTAAAGTCTCAAAATTTTAAATACATTTCTCTGTCTCTAGGAAGATTAATCAGGGTAAGAATATTCAATTGTATTTCCCATTAATTTGAGAAAAAGTGTGTGAGCACCTACATCACCTCCTAACACCACGCTCTGCACTAACCTGGAGAGATGCTGTAGCCTGAGACAGCTCCTCACCTTTAGGCTGTAAGACCCAGTCTGCAGTGTGTGTGAAGTGCGTGTGTGCGCGCTCTGTGTACGTGTGTGTGTATGTGTGCACATGTCGTCATGAGCCTCTGCTTCTTCATCTAACAATAAGATTGGCTCTACTGTGGGGGGGGGGGGTACACAGTGTGTGCAGGTATATGGGGGATGAGGTGTGTGCATGATGTGCCCACAGGTGCAGAAGTCAATGTGTGGCCTCCTGTCTGCTCCTCGGGCTCTTGTTCACATGTTTTACTCTGGCACTAATCAAATAGGTGAGGCTGGCAGCCACGGAGCTGTAGTCACTGCCGTCTGCCTCCCCAGTGACAGCCTGGCTTGTTTTCTGCTTCCTTCAAGGGTGTTTGTTAGGACTGGGCATGTGTGAGGTAAATAAGGCACAGCCCAGTGTAAAGCGCTGTGCAGTGTACTCAGATGGGCAAAACTAGTATGTGCTGTAAATCAAGCTTTTGAGGTACTCAGCCCCATAATTTTCTAGAAACAAAAATATCAGTTGTATCTGAAATTGCATAAAAGCATTGTCGGCATTTTTCTAAAGGAAGCTCACTGCACAGATCAAGAGACAAAAGTGAGTTTAATGGTGACTAAGTGGGTGGCCTTGGCACGGGGCCAACTCCAGCCTGTCACTCACTGTAGGTTCTTGTCTCTGGTTAAAATCACTGTCAAACTCAACATCTGAAGCACAAAACAGAAATCAAGTTTATAAAGATACTAAATCATGACAATAAGAACTGTTGCTCTTGGCATCTGGCTGAGGGCTTACCTGGGCTTCCTTAACAGAGTGTATCCGAATCAAAGTCACACTGCTGCTCAGCTCCTGAGCCGCCACACCCCAGAGAGCACATCCCCCAGTGGTGCAGCCAGCACAGCCTGCTGCTCCATTGCCTCCCCCATGTTAGGTGCTAACTTACTGCAGTGGAGTCCAAATACAGCCTGAGATGAGCTCAAGTCTGGACACAGTCTGAGGCAAAGCTCCAACCCATGACTATCTTTACAAGACTCTCTATGTACCAACAACATGAGCAATTTCAAAGTCAAACAATAAGAAAAGGCTTCCGCAGGTGGAAACCCATGAGTCAGGTGCTCTGGGAGTATTGAGGAAAATCAGCAGGGCAAAAACACTGACCAGGACAGGGACCCCTCGAATAAAAGCACAGCTCACAAGGTGCCTGACTCCATCCTGGCAGCATGGCTGCTGACATTCTATGGGCAATCACAGAAGGGAAAGAAACACAGAACGTACTTAGCTTTTCAGCAGCTTTTTCATCTCTATGAATTTATTTTGGTTGGTTGGATTGTTTAAGAGGAAGAGAAGAATCTGTTCATGTTTTTCCATCTATAGATGAAAAGGAAATAGTTAATTTACTTTCTCACAATGTTAGGAGTGCAGTTTGACACAAGGGAACTATACCCACCTGTTTCTGTAACTCTGTGCAGCAACAGTCCTTGTGTGTTCTTTCTAAAAGCAAGCAAACAAAGCCAGTCACTAGGTCACATCAACGAAGAAACTAGCAGCTCCAGACCTCAGCAAGCCTGCACCTGTCTGTGTCTGTGCCTGTGTCTGAGTGTCAACTACACACAACAGGCCCCGCCCACTCATCTGCTGTGTTCTAGACCCTCACAGACCAGGACTCCCATCTGAAGATTAGGTCTTCCATAATGTATGGGACGACTTTTGGGTGAGGGTGGGTCTGCCAAATGCAGATCTCATGGGATAGCAGGAAGATTTCATCTCAAAAACACAAAGAATTCTGCTGTTTTCCTTGATGATGACTAAGGGGAACTAGAAAGGCACAGGCACAACGTGTAACCATTCCAAAACTCTGGGTCCTGACTCCTGCTGCAAAGCTGTCATCGACCTCAGGACACACAGGAGGAGTGGGTGGAGGGGACTGAAGTGTAAGAAATAAGCCAGTCAGGACAACTCAAAGCCAACCATCTGGCTGGCTCGCACACATTTGCGTGTTGTTTACGCCATCTGAGGAGGTACCTGCCACCGAAGCACATTTCTGTTTCGACGTGGGCTTTTCTGCTAGACCACACATCTGCAGCTTCTCGGCGATACTGACCATACCATTCTCAGAGCACTTCTCAACTGACACTGTGTGGACATTCTTTGAAATTCCCTTCACAGAAAGAACCACGCTCTGATTCAGCATGGCATTTTTCAGTAGTTCCATCACTAGCTGCGAACAGCTTCCGTTCAGTTCCATCAGCCCTGGAAAGATGCAACCCTGCTTAGTAAAACTACACAATCTTTCTTATAGATCACTTTTCACACATATCAAAGTTTTGCCTGCACTCATGTGTATTGTGTGTGCCTGGTGCCCGTGGAAGTTAGAAGAAGTTGTTGGCCACTCTCGAACTGTAGTTACAAATGGTTGCCAGCCACCAAGTGTGTGAAGGGAATTGACTCAGGTCCTTTGCAAGAACAAGCAAGTGCTCTGAACCACTGGAGGGCTCTTCAACCCCATGTGTCTCTTTTTAAAGACCCTATTTAGGTGAGTTATCTAATAGATGAGACAACCAGTAGCATGACTGCTGGCTTCTGTGGGTGTTTAGCATGCTGTAAGGCACCGAGCACACAAAGCAGATGCGGCCCAGTCTCCATGTTCTAAGGACGCAGCGTAGCAGAGGAAGCAAGCAGTTACGGGACAGGGCCATTTTCATCGTTCTGTTTGCTCTGCACAAGCTTCAGCTCAACAGTGGATCATTGGCTGCTTTAGAAGCACAATTGGGAGGCCAGAACGCTACCAGTGAACATCCCTGGCTCCTGCAGGGAGCAGTGACAGGATACCAAAACCACTGGGTGCTCCACACACCATCTGGGTTCACACCCTGCCACTTGCCACTAAAGCTTCACAACAGGGAGCAAAACACTTTCTCCAAATATTGCCACTCTGACCCCGCAACCTCAAAGAATTACAAATGGAATATAGTCTAATTCAAGAATAAAGGATACAAAATTTCTTTGAAAACTCTTGCTGAGAAGTTACTTAGTGGAAGGCAAGTTTAAGGATAACTTAGCTTGGGACCCCACTTGCACACTCTTGAAGACTTGCCCTTGGCAGCCTAGGTCTTTCACCTGTATGCGCTAAGTACTCGCTCAGTAACCACCTCTCCCTTTTTCTTGACCCCACACAATAACCCTCACTTGGTCCGCTGTCCATCTTGACAGTGCTTCCTTCTAAACACTTTTGCTTGCTCCAAATACAGTTCCCTTGAATCTTCTGCAGATCTGTGTGAGCCCTGAATTCCCAGGTCTTTCAAGAGGCCAAGAACCTGGAAACACCTGGCCCAGATCCCAACCACTGGTAACAATCTGATATAAACCATTTGATTCAGACACAGAGCTATGAAATATCAAGATAAAAATTCCACAGAACAAATCCAGAAAGCAACAGAGCTGTGTACTCACCCTCGAGTGAGCATCTAATGATCTGGAAGGGGGGCTGCAGGTGGCTGGCGGGGATTGGCTGCACTCTGGAGAGAGGAAGGGTCTCCATGTTTCCGTAGTCTGCGTACAGTACTTTCACACCAGAGTCTGATGCTTCCAGGACTATGGCCCGGTACCAGAGGTCATCACCTGTAAACAAAGGAGTCTTAGCACAGAAGTCGCAGACCAGAGCCCTTCCCATTCCGTGAGATGGTTCTATCTACAACACTTAAAAGCTCACACCAAAGTATCTAATCAAGAGTTGAGGTTTTTTCTATATTCCTTCCAAATCCCTCTATGGAGACTCTGAAAGTTCTGGTTTCCTTTTTAAACTACAAGACAGGGCATGAAAGAAGACCATGCAGTTCTGCACAGCCAGAAAACACACACAGGTGGAAGCAGCTCACAGCTGAGCCAAGCGGGCAGAGAGGAAGCCAAGCAGGGTCACATGGGCCCTTCAGTCCCAGCCTCGAGGCCCAGGCAGGGGGCTGGGGGGGGGGGAGTTTACCAAAGACACAGTCAAATGTACACACCAATCAGGAGTCAGCCACCACACCGGGGAGCATTTCCAGATGTTGTCCAGCTACCAGTGGAACCACAGCATGCCTGCACTTGAAGGCCACAAGCGGCTAAATGCTGCTGTGTGTGAGCTCCCATCTCAGAAAGCCTCTCCCATGACAGAGAAGGTCAAAGCAGACACAGCAGGTCCTGGGGACAGCAGAGGCAAAGGAGCACAGACACACCCACACTCAAAGGGTAAAGGGCAATGTGCCACAGAGCCAGAAGACAGGACATTCCAGCCTCGAAAACAAAAAGGGGACCACAGTGAGACAAACACCCCAGGGAAACAAAAGAGCTAGTGACACTAAAGTGACCATCAAGACCTCAGTGCAGAAAGTCAGGGGACAAAGAACTCCTGAAAAAGGAGAGAGAAGGAAGCAAATAAACTCTCAGCAGAGTCCACATCAGGCAGTACAGACTCGGCAGCTTCCTCAGCAGGGCAGAAACAGGAGAGAATCAATGAAGGGACTAAATTCTGGGTCTGGGGGAAAGGCCCAAACTCACGCATTCCCAGACTTAGAGCCCACTATGAGGCGGAAAGAAAGCCACCATGTGAACTCACAGTCCAACCTGAAAACCACAGGATGAAAGGTCACACAAGGTCCTGACAATGCAGGTTAAATCCGCATCCCAGGGAACCTGTCCATCCTTTGACAGCTAACACACAATACAGTGCTTCAAAATGTTCAGGAAAAACGGTTTTGTTGTGGGATATTTGCAAAGTTCATGAAGATGTATTGCTGTGACTGGTGTTTTTAAGAGGAGGAGGAGGAGGAAGAAGAGGAAGAGGAGGAGGAGGAAAAGAGGAAGAGGAGGAGGAAGAGGAGAAGGAAGAAGAGGAAGAGGAGGAGGAGGAAGAAGAGGAAGAGGAGGAGGAAGAGGAAGAGGAGTAGGAAGAGGAAGAGGAGGAGGAGGAAGAGGAAGAGGAGGAAGAAGAGGAAGAGACAAGGAAGAGGAAGAAGACGAAGAAGATGAAGACGAGGAAGATGAAGACGAGGAAGATGAAGACGAGGAAGATGAAGACGAGGAAGATGAAGACGAAGCAGCAGCAGCAGCTGAACAGCCAATAGCAGGAAGCATAGGCAGGTCTTCAGGGCAGAGAGAGAACTTTGGGAAGACAGGCAGAAGCTGCCAGCAGGCTGGTCAGTACAAGATGAGGTAAAGCCACGTGGCAGAACACAGATTAACATAACATGAGTTAATTTAAGTCATAAGAGCTTAAGGCTAAGCTAAAGCTGAGCTTTCATAATAAGAAGTCTGTGTCACTTGCAGACTGGTGTTCCTGACCACATGGTTTCTAGCTCAGATTCTGTATGTAGACAAGCTATCAAGGCCAGGCTTTTTCAAATTCAAGAATTTCACCTCACATGGAGACATCTGGAGTAGATCCAACGAGAGAGAGGGAAGATCAAGTGAAGGAACGAGGACTCGGCTACCTCAGTGGAATGGGAGAGAAATCCAATTAACACCGCCATCAACAGGACAGCGAGGGACAGACACTGCTTTCAAACAGTGCTCAGCATGAGGGTGGGGACAAACCCCATGACAGCCAGGTTTGGAGGACAAGCAACTGGACTTAAGATTATGGTAAAATGTAATGTAATGTAATGTCCGTGCAGAGCTCACGGAGGGTTAACACCAATGTGGAGGCGTGGGGACAGTGAAAGCACCAGAGTACCCACAGCTAGGAAGAACCTGGAACCACAACACTGCAGGGAGTGGCCTCACACTGAGGAAGGAGTCTTACACCTTAACTTCCACTGGGACGAAGATGAGGGCAAGTTCAGATCCAGATGCCATACAAAAGCAAAACAAGGTAAAAGTCACATCACTAAGATGGCGGAAGAGGTTCCCAGCTCTGACCATCCTTCTCATGCCTGTTAACCGTCTGCTCCGCGTCTATGGACAAAGCTGCCTTTAGAAGACCTCTGAAACCCAGGCAGGGGTTTTGAGAGCTGGAGTGTTCCATGAAAGACTCCCTTACCTTGGTCTTGGCTATGATTAGAAGTAGCCTAGTCTCCTTGGGTACTCTGCTGCAGCCCTGCCAATAGCCCCACCTGCCCAGTGAGCCGTGGGTACCACGCCCACTCCCACAGCACCTCTTTGATCAGACTCCACCTCCCGGAAACAAATCAGAGCATTCACAGCAAGTGTTATTTCTATCAGCAATGCAATCGCTGACATGAAATGTTTAGCCTATCTCCTGAGGTGGTCTAATTACCTTTTGGTCCACTTACATGCAGAGTTCCATAAATACGGAACACGGCACATCAGTGAGCCACCATAATACAGCATTCATACTTGGAGCTGGTTAACTCAATACAGCTATGCCCCTACCTAAAAATAACCCTTACAGAATGGAAAAGATGACGCCAGCATATAAAGTCAGTCACAATTTTCCCTTAATTTGTCTAACCAAATGGAATATGCATTGGAGGTACCAAAATCTACACCATCTCACAAACAGCTAACAACTGCTATTCCCCCACAGCATTTCACTCAGAGGGGTGTTACTTGTGAATCTGGCACAGCATGCTTCTCCCGCCCGTGGTCTGTAGGATGGCTGGACTTTCTGAGCATTACAGTGTTCTAACAATTCTGCCGTTAACGCACACAGCTTCTCTTGATTTTCTGAAATACAAGCATTCTTCAGCATGAGACAATTTCCAGTACAGCAACCATATACAAAGAATCCCCAGCCTAATCACCAAGAGCCCTTGAGTATTAAATATATACCATTTTAAAATGAATACACTCACCATTGGCTGCCTTATGCAGGGAGACTGGACTGAGGGGCCGGAGAGTGTCGGGAGGGCCTATCTCCTAATGAGGCCGATTCTGCAAGTGTGCTCACTCTTGTGAAAATTTACTGACTACATTTTGTTATTTCCATTTTACACTTATTTATAATGTGGGGTGTTATGGCACCTCTGTGGATGGAGTTCTAGGGATGGAGCTTGGGTTATGAGACAGGTGCCAAGAGCTGGGCCCGCATCAGCTTAAGTAGTCTTACTGTTTAGAAACAAGTGTTTCACACTAGAGCCCAGTCATAAAGAAAAGTAGCACATAAGATTGGTTTTGCGGTTTCTCTTCTTCTTTAAGGGAAGTTTATAATTAAGCAATGTCTTGAATGTATATGAAACCATCCTTGCAGCATTAGAAAGTCAGTGGGGTACGGTTAGCAGGTATCTATCCTGGGGCATTTTAACAATGAAAGAAATAAACTTTGCTTCAAATTGACAACCCACGGATAGCGGTAACAATTATTGCTCTTTAACTTTTTTCCAAAAATCACAAAATATCGCCTTTAATCTGTGTATGTGAAAAGAAGGTGTTCAGGGTTGTCTGTGACAATCCATGGTTCCGATGGCCTGAGAAATACTTAACATCACTTTATTTTGTATGACATATTGAGAAGTATACAAACAGCTATAGAAATGCTGCTTAATTACTGAGAATTGAGAAATTTTCATAACTCAATCTATACCCTTACTGAAAAATAATCTGCATAGAATAAAAAGCTTATTAAATCAGCATATGAATTACATCACAACTTTGCCTTTCTCAATTTGATCAAATGAAATATGCATTCAAGATACCAAAATCTGTATCATCTCACATCCAAATAACACACTACCACTCCCGGTATTTCCCTTAGAAGGGCTTTACTCATACTTGGCACACCATGCTTCTCTGATCTGTGGGCTGCAGGACTAAATGGACCCAGGTTATAGACAAGCAAATAATAATTTTTAATTAAAAAAACTATTATTAACTGATTACTAAGTTTTTTTTTATAATATATTGGAAATAGTTCTGGTTGAAGCTCACTTATAGGACTGACGGTTAGCTTAGTAAATACAATTCAATGTAGATAATGTGTGTTTTAAATAAAGAAATTAAGGACTTTTTTGTTGTAGGAAGCTATAGATCACAGGAAACCCAGGCTGCTGAGGAGGTGGCTGAAAGGGCATATCCTTTGTATCGTTAAAACTAGGCTTCGGGGTTACAATTTTTAAGAAGCCTCACCTGGCATTTCGCTGGGGATGGCATAAAACAAGTTTGGGGTTATGATTTCTAGCACATTTGCTGGCACAGTCTTGTTCAGTGGCAGTTCTACCGTCCTCCACTGTTCCACTGATGGGAGGGCTGGAAAAACACGAGGCACAGGTCTTTAAACACATACAGTTAACACTTTTCTCCAATTTTCAGTCAGTAAATTTGTTCATTGAAAGCTGATTACCAACATGTCAGAGTTTCCAAGATACCTGTTTCACAAATGGATATACTCAACTCCGAGAGTATGTACACATTACAAAGTTATTCAATAACAAGGATCTGAGCTAATATACTTCTGCAAAATATTACTAAAGAACAATTATTCAAAATTTTAAGTTATTATCTTCTATGTGATGTATGTTTAACAACTAAATTTAAAATGAATGTTCAAAAAAGTCCTCCTATCCTAGAGAGATTTGACTGAGGCAAAGAGACCCACTGACTATGTCACAAAGTGAGCAGCCGCCACCACACTCCTGCTACCATGCCTCGCCTGCCATGCTAAGACTGTACCCTCCTCAACCCATGAGCCTTTTTTGTCATGTGTGTAGCTGCAGTGATTAAGAAAAAAGAAAACAGAAAATGAGAGAACTAGAAGACCTCATGTGCTCAAGGGTTAGGACAGTGCATACTGTGAAGTGACTGCCATTATTAAACACATTATACATTATTCCTATCAAAATTCCAAAACGTATTCTTCACAGAACTAGAAAAATAACACTAATGCATGTATAGACACACAAAAGACTCCAAAATACAAAGGGTGATGCTGCAAGTAATTCAATTATCTCAGTACCTGATGTTAACCCACATCCCACAACCATGGCAACAGACCAGCACACAGCACAGTGCTGGCACAAAACAGACCTACAGACCAAAACAGACCTGCAGACCAACAGAAGAGGATCCCAAAGACAACTACTGGACAGCCAGCCAGTCTTTGACTAAGGTGTGAAAAGACACAGTGCAGAAAATACAGCAGAGAAAGCTGGAGATTCACAGCAGAAAAACAAAACTAGATCCCTCTCAGCCTGCATTAAATCAACTCAAGAGGGACAGAAGATCTTGGGATCTGAAAGTCTGGAACAGCCGGGTCAAACAGCCCTAGGGGAGTGAACCAAGCACAGACTGACAAATGCCACTCACTACACAGGACCAGCAGCTTCCTGCGCAGAAAAGCCACCAACCAGCAACGACAGCCTACAGCTGGGAAAAGCTTAACTCTTCACCTGACTGGGGTTAATATCTGGACTCCATAAAGAATTCCAAAAATTAAATGCCAAAATACCCAAATCAGCCAATCAGCATACAGCCAGTGACCTGGACAGATGGCTTTCAAGTAAGTACACATGGCCAACAGTTATTTTTATAATTTCTGGTTAACTTTATTGTTAAAAACCTAGAAATTCAACACGCACAAGCACACATGCACACACTCACTCACTCACACATTTTAACCAGACCCATGGTCTGAGCATCTCAGTGAGTCTCTGTACCTTCAGCATAACTGTTCTGAAGCTGTGAGGTTACAAAAGACATCTAGAAGGTGCAAAGATAACTTTCCCCAGTAAAAGTGTAAAATTCAACATGAAACTTTTTAATGATCAAGATCCTTAACAGTCAAGAGAATGCAAATCCAAACTGTGTCAAGGAGACACCTTGACCAGTCAGGGTACTGACAACAAGAGGTTGTTAATTTGGGCGGGAAGAACAGGCGGCATCAAAGAGGGCAAAGGGAGAGGTAGAAAGACGTAACTACAGTACTCATGTATGAAGCTTTCAAAAAATAATAAAATTAAGTAAAAAATAACAAATTTAGGATTTCTAAACCTTAAAGAAAACAAAGAACAATAAACACTGGCAGCGTGTGGGGAAAGGAACACTTTTTCACTGCTAAATGGAAACTGAGCCACCACTATGGAAATCCATATGGAGGTGCTTCAAAAGCTAACAACAGAATCCCTGCCTGTGGCTGTACTTCAGCACGGCACACTGGTACCTGGAGGATGCAGTCAGTAAAGCACAAGACACCTGCTCATAACACTGTCAGACCAACCAGGTGCTCAGGACAGACATGGACCCAGCCTAAATGGTCAGCAACAGCTGCATGACACATACGCAATATAATGTTATGTAGCTATAGAGAAAAGTGAAATCATATCATATGCACATATACGTACATACGTGTACATGTACATACATGAAACAGAATACCACACCTAAGCAGAATCAAAACTACACACACACACACACACACACACACACACACACACACACACACACAAAGCAGAAGAGAAGGTCAGGCATTGGTGGCGCACGCCTTTAATCCCAGCACTTGGGAGGCAGAGGCAGGCAGAGGCAGGCAGATTTCTGTGAGTTCAAGACCAGTCTGGTCTCCAGAGAAGAGTTCTGGGACAGCCAGGGCTACAGAGTGAATCCCTGTCTAGAGCTCGTAACTTTTCATACTCCTGGTTCCAGAGCTTCTGACACAGTCACAAAGACATACATGCAGGCAAAACATCAATGAACATAAAATAAAAATAAATAAAACCCTGTGTGGTGTGCTACCACCACAGCACTAACGAGCAAAGCCAACACTAACACAGATTAAATCTACAGATGGTTTAAAGGCATCACCTTGCACCCCCTGGGTGTCCACCTGGTTATGTTTATTAGCAAGTCTGCAAATCGAAGGCTCCTTCTGTGGTGAACCACATTTTAAAACCAAGTGTTCTGTGATGAGAACATCGCTAATTATTTTGGGATAGGGAGTAGAAAGGTCGGTGAGTTCAACTCCCACCCCCTTCTCAGTGATTTCCACAACTCTGGCTTGCAGTTTGAGCCCCACAACACACGCCTGAAATCTTGCTGTAGCTTCCTGTGTCCAATGTTTGTTTTTGGGCTGTATATCTGGAATTAAGAACAAGAGAATTAAACAAAATCCTATGAGTGAGGTGAGCTTATGGCAGGCAGGACTGGGTTCTTACATTAAATCAGAAATTCTTAAAATTATACAGACGTGGTAAAAAATTTACATCTTTCAAACCCAAGTCACAGACACTGTACCTAATACAGAGTTAGGATGCTCAGGTCAACTCTCCCCAGTGACATGGTTGCTGTTATTGCTGTCTTAGAGGATGGCACAGTAACGTGACCAACACAAAGTTGTCAACTGGTGACCCACGGAACCTCTGCAGAGTTTCCAATGGTTTGGGAGCAACTTTGGCTTGTTCACTTTTGTTTTGAGACAGGGCCACACTTATCTTGAACTCTTGGGCTCAGGCAGTCCTTTCTCCTCAGCTTCCTTATTAGCTGAGCCTGGAGGTGCCACTGGCTTTCTATTTTCATCTTTTTTCTTTAGACATGATTTCCAGCCTTGAATGTGCATCCCAGATTACTCAGAGAACTTGTTAAAACACAGACTGGAGGGCTGCAGACTATGAACCAGAATTTAAAAACACAAGTTCCCTTGTTTGCTGCTGGTGGTTGGGAGCTCCATCTTCAGCAAAACCCTGGCATCAGAAGGAGCAGAGATTGCAGGGTTACTCCACAGGAGAGGGTAACCCTTGCAGCACAAGCCTGAGCGCATTGGAACTCGATTCTCGGTTCTCAAAGTGAGAGAACTGAAATGCAAAACTAGTCCTCGTATCTCCACATGGCACATACGTGCCTGCATGAACACAACATATGTACATGCACATAAGAATACACATGATAACAAAGCCTCTATAAAAATAGCGACCTAAAGCACACCCACTGTACAGTATTAAACACAGCAGAACAGTCAGACGGATGGACAAATGTGTTACGATAAATCTTTCCGCCAAAGATTTATCGTAACAGAATGGTGTCAGTGAGTGGGATGACCCCATGCCCCAAGGTTCCCAGAGAAAGAGGGAAACCTGCCGCCACAGCATGCCCTGTCGGGTCGCTGAGAGGCATTACAGCAGCTTCCATATGCTCGTGCCGTCTTGGTGCTCTTGGGCATTGGACTTGACACTCCAGAGATGATAAAGACAGATCCAGACAAAGAAAAACCTCTAAAGGTTTACACTGCGTTTAAAAATATATGTGGGCTTTTGAGAGAAAAACTAACAGGAGGAAATAGAGTAGCCTGTTGTGGTGGTACACACTGGTAGGATTTGCTGAAGGAAGCAGAGGCAGGCGGATTTCCACAGAGAAACCCTGTCTTGGGGGGGAAAAAAAAAAAAGAAAAAGTAAAAATAAAGTAATAAAAAAGCCACATAAAGATGGAAAAATACAGAGAATTTGGATACTATATACCATATTGTTGTCTTTAAATTGTTTGATTGCTGAGGAAAGACTTACTGCTGGTAAAATACATTTGATTATAAATGCTGCTAAATTAATCTAACTTGTACATTTTAAAAATGCTTTGACTTCAAAATTTAAGTCTCAGAACAGGCTACTTGGAAAAAGAATTTCTGGTTGTGTTTCTGCAGAAAATAAAAAGCTATGGATTCCTTCCAGACTAATATGTTTTGATCAAGCAAGACCCCCCCCCCAAAGCTGAGACGATACAGCCTTACAGACACAAAAACAAGGACTTGGTCAGGTTTCTATGTTTTATCATGATCCTAATGGTATAAACATCGCCCCCAATCAGCAGGAAACAGTTTAGAAAGAATGACGCCATATTCCCAAATATTGTTTATAAAAGTTTGTTTTCATTTAAATGGGGTTGGTTATAAACGATAATGAGCATAGTCAATCTCTTTTCAAAGAAAAAATAGGGGAACTGGATATAGGAATGAATACTTTTATTTGATATGGCTTTTCATTTATTGATACAACTTTAAGGTCAATTTTGTGATATGTATGTCTCCTCTCGTTTAGGTATTGTGTTTATACAGATCTTTTAAAATGATATGCATAATTAAATAGGGTTATATAATTGCCTATGATAGTCAGAACTCATAATTAAGTTAGTTAGGTTTTCTAGATTTACAGAGATGTATTTGAGATGGTTAG